CATTATATTACTTTACATTACATTACATTACATTACTTTACTTTCCTTTACATTACATTACCGTACATTACATAACATACATACATACATACATACATACATTACATACATACATTACATTACATTACGTTACATACATGCATACATGCATACATACATACATACACACATACATACATACATTACATACATGCATACATACATACATACATACATGCATAACATACATAACATACATACATACATACATACATACATACATACATACATACATACATACATACATACATACATACATACAAACATACACACATACATACATACATACATACATACATACATACATACATACATACATACATACATACATACATACATACATACATACATACATACATACATTACATACATAACATACAAACATACATACATACATACATACATACATACATACATACATACATACATACATACATACATACATACATACATACATACATACATACATACATACATACATACATACATACATACATACATACATACAACATACATACATGCATGCATACATTACATACATACATACATACATACATACATACATACATACATACATACATACATACATACATACATACATAACATAACATAACATAACATACATACATACATACATACATACATACATACATACATACATACATACATACATACCATCCATACATACATACATACATACATACATACATACATACATACATACATACATACATACATACATACATACATTACATACATAGATACCTACATACATACATTACATACATACATACATACATACATACATACATACATACATACATACATACATACATACATACATACATACATACATACATACATACATACATACATACGTACATACATACATACATACATACATACATACATACATACATACATACATACATACATACATACAGACATTACATACATACATACATACATACATACATACATACATACATACATACATACATACATACATACATACATACATACATACATACATACATACATACATACATACATTACATACATCATACATACATACATACATACATACATACATACATACATACATACATACATACATACATACATACATTACATACATACATACATACATACATACATACATTACATTACATTACATTGCATTACATTACATTACATTACATTTCATTACATACATACATACATACATACATACATACATACATACATACATACATACATACATACATACATACATACATACATACAATACATACATACATTACATACATACATACATACATACATACATACATACATACATACATACATAAATACATACATACATACATACATACATACATACATACATACATACATACATACATACATACATACATACATACATACATACTTCATACATACATACATACATACATACATACATACATACATACATACATACATACATACATACATACATACATACATACATACATACATACATACCTACATACATACATACATACATACATACATACATACATACATACATACATACATACATACATACATACATACATACATACATACATACATACATACATACATACATACATACATACATACATACATACATACATACATACATACATACATACATACATACATACATACATACATACATACATACATACATTACATACATACATACATACATACATACATACATACATACATACATACATACATACATACATACATACATACATACATACATACTACATACATACATACATACATACATACATACATACATACATACATACATACATACATACATACATACATACATACATTACATACATTACATACATACATACATACATACATACATACATACATACATACATACATACATACATACATACATACATTACATACATACATACATACATACATACATACATACATACATACATACATACATACATACATACATACATACATACATACATACATACATACATACAGACATACATACATACTACTACATACATACATACATACATACATACATACATACATACATACATACATACATACATACATACATACATACATACATACATACATACATACATACATACATACATACATACATACATACATACATACATACATACATACATACATACATACATACATACATACATACATACATACATACATACATACATACATACATACATACATACATACATACATACATACATACATACATACATACATTACATACATACATACATACATACATACATACATACATACATACATACATACATACATACATACATACATACATACATACATACATACATACATACATACATACATACATACATACATACATACATACATACATACATACATACATACATACATACATACATACATACATACATACATACATACATACATACATACATACATACATAACAATACATACATACATACATACATACATACATACATACATACATACATACATACATACATACATACATACATACATACATACATACATACATACATACATACATACATACATACATACATACATACATACATACATACATACATACATACATACATACATACATACATACATACATACATACATACATACATACATACATACATACATACATACATACATACATACATACATACATACATACATTACATACATACATACATACATATATACATGCATACATACATACATACATACGAGAGAGGCAGATTGGGGAGAGAGTGGCTTGGGGGGATGGGGAGGATGGGGAGCGGAGGGGGGGGAGAGAGGACGACAGAACACACCAGGGAGACAAGGGAGAGAGGAAGAAGGAGAAAAGGGACAGGACAATGTTGGCGGACTGAGCCGGAGGCTCTAAAGTTTGCAGCGAAAATGCGATTTTCCGATGTCCCTAATCAGCATCATCTTTCGAAGCGAAACGGCGATTTTTCCCGGCGACACAGCGAGTTTTGGCAGCGAAACGGCGATTGTCCAGTTTTTACTCTCATGCAGGTATCAAGGATTTGACACTGCTTGAGATGGCGAAACGAGTGTTTTCAATTGAAACGGCTGAAAAAACAGCAGTTTCATGAAACGGCTAAAAATTTGTACCCTCAGGGTGTTCCAGGTATGGCTAGGATACCACGCGACTCGAAAGACCCGTCGTGTTGAATTGCGATGGCCGCTGATTTCAATGATCCAAGAGCACCGGCCGAGCCTGCTTCTCATCGTCATCCTTGTCCTCTCCAGCCCAAACCTGCCGGGAGTCGGGCTCTTTCTCACACGCCAACAGACAATCGACCAATACCTCTCCGAACAAAACCATCCACCCAACAAAGTACCAGCCAAGCGAACTGTTAGACGTATGCCTGGCCTTGCTGGCACGCCAAAGGCGCAGGCGGTGCTGCTTCCTTCACCACCTTTGGATCTTGGAGTCAACGATGCTTCACAACGGGCTCTGAAAAATGCCACAGGGAACCAAGCCGCGAATCAGGTGTGTCTGTGCCCTTGTCATGATTCGATCCCGAGGGCTTTTTCTGCAAGCTGCTGGCCCTTTCGGCGCCAAGTGGTGCAAAGATGCAGCACAACGCAGCCCTGATCAAATAATGTATTAGCTTCACCGCGTCCGCACGAATTGATTTGGCACAACCTTTGGCTAGTCCAAATCTGAACTGTAAGTTCAAATCGCACCTTGCATCGCTACTTTGGCTTTGGAAGCTCGATTTCGAGGCCGTGCTCGTTGCCCGAGTGAAACTTGGACCACTCAACCCTCAGCTCTGCCAAAAAAACCTGTTGGCGCCAGCAAGCCAAAGAGCAAGCGTCGGGTCCAGACAATATTTTCCCCAGTTAGGGCCGATTCCGAGCCTGGTTGGCGACGCTCCGCTGCAGGCGCAAACGCGTCCTTGGCCGAAGCGGCGGTGGGGCGGTCCCTTTTCTGGGCAAAGCGGCGGAGGCCGAGATTCAGCTTCTGCGCTTTGGCCATGAACAACTTCAGCTGCGCCAGGCCATCCTGGGAGCTGGTGACACTGGTCTCAGGCTGTGGGCTTCAACTCCGGCCTGGGATTCGCAAAGCGGGTTGTCGTTGAGGTTCACATACTCAAGGGGCAGCTCCGCCTTGAGATTTTCCATCAGCTCCCTAAAGGCTGCCTCCGTCAGTTGGCAGAAATTGACGTTGGCTCCTGAGGCTGTCGGGTCTACCAGTACTAACTGGGACTGGCATGGCCAAGGATCTGGTCATGTGGTTGAGGAGCAAAGCGACCATGCTCCACTTGTGAGCTTTGGCAGGCGCCACGGTCAGCTCCGCGTCATCAGCAATGAAAGCCTGAACATTAAGTGGTTGGACTTGGGGCAGAAGAAACCGCCGTGCCAAAATAACGGCAGCTTGAGGAGCAGAGGATGCAGCGAAGGCTTTCAAGACGCTTTCCTGGTCTTGCGCCACCAAACCTCATCGCAACGAACTTCCGAGGCCGCGAAACTGCAGCTCAACATGGCTTGACACTGGCAGCAGATATGGTGAGCTTCGGAAGGAGACCGCTCAAGGGCCAAGCGGCCAGCAAAAACGTCCGTCTGATCCTGCTTCAAACACTTTTGCACTTCCTCATCGCTGGTCTTCGTTGCCTCTCAGGTTTCAAGATCTCCCCAAAGCCCTGCTAACCACAGCCATGTTGCAAGAACCTCCCCCCCGCCCCCTGCCTCTGCAAACTCCTCGCCGAGGGCTCGCGCCGCAGCCTCCCTGTCATCTCGCAGCACACCTGAAAACGGCACCCGCTGGGCCTTCCCAAGGCCTTCCTTCCATGCCTTGGTCTAGCACAAGAAGTTGGAGCGCGCGGCGGCCCAAGACCGGATCCCAGGAGCTGCAGCACCTCGCGCGGGCCAAGTCCTTGAGAGGCAGACGCCTCTGACGCTTGGCTGCTTGGCGTTCGAATTTCAAGGTCTATGGCTGAGGCGCGCGGGGCGACACGTTTTGCCAGGGAATGCCGCGCTTCGCCTGGTGGCTGAGGACGTGTGGCCGCAGAGTTTCGATCATGAACCTCGGCTGAGGAATTGGCATTTGGCATCCCTCGCCACAGCTCATGGCATATCTTGACATCCCGCGTTGCGCACATTCAAGCCCAAGAGCGCTTGAAACCAGGCAGTGCCAGCGCAGAACGCAATCGCGGGAGAGATCCCCTTTTCCATGACCATCAGCATGGAGCTGGCGAGCGCCTCTCAATCCCAGCATGCACCGCCCACCCTCCTTGCCACCTGGCCTGCGGCAGTTGTTGGTAGAGGCTTGCGATCTTCTTGGCATGGGAGGTGGCCTTCCCTGGCGGGTCAGAATACTGCTTTCACGCCGCGTGGAAAGGGTGTCCCTCACTTGGGCACGGGGGCTGGGTCCGTTCTCACACTGAGTTGATGGCATGAGTGTTGAGTTGTGGCACAAAAGAGCTCCGGGCTTCAAGATTGATAAGGTTGACTAGCGAGACACCTCTTGCACAAGGCCTAACAAACACTGTGCCGATGGCTGTCTCTGGGTCGCTCCAGCCTAGTTTGTCAAAGCACGCGCGCTCCACACCCGGAAACCACGACCAAAAGTGGGGCTGGTAGTCCTTGCCGAGACTTCCGCGTGGGTTTGCTCAGATGTGTTCCCAAGGGCTGCGGTTGAAGTCTTCGGGTCTTGAAGCGGCCAACCAAGGTCGGCGACAAACGCGTGGAAAGGCCCTCTGGGTGACATGGAATAAGGCAGCCTTGGCTTCTGGGTCAGGGTTTAGTGCGACAAAGGCAGAGGGAGTCGGGTTCTCAGCTGTCCTGCGGAGGGCCAAGCAAGCGTAAGGCCTCGCAGTCGCCAGCATCAGCAACCTCCAGAAAACAGAATCTTGCGACTTCACGCATCTCTATGTCTGCACAGTGCGCCGAGCTTCAAAGTGGTGGTGCTGTAGCTTGAGCAAGTCGATGCAGGTCGTTCCAAACAGGCATATCATGGCGTCATGCCACTCAGTCCCGCTGGCCGTCGTTCATTTGCAACCCCCGCAGAAAAATGGCTTTGCTTGTCAAGCTCAGGAGACGCTTGCGGCGCATGCTTCTTGTTCAAACTTCTTGCTCATATGTTGGTTCTGAGACTTGAAAGGATGTAACCATGGCTAAACGTGGAAGCGGGAGGACCCCAACGCCATGCCAGAAGTCGTCCAGCCTCCGTCGGACAATCAGAAGTTTGCTGGTATACCTCAGCCGCCGGAACACTCCAACGCTTCGGGCCAAGAGCCTTGCAGCCTGAGCTGGAGCGCCTTGTGCCTTTCTGAAGCGCGCGACCCTGGCCCCGCGCCTCGCTCTTCGCAGTCGATGCGTTGGCAGGCCAAATGGTAGCCCGAAGCTGTCGTAGGTCGTCGCGACGCCAAAATCTAGCACACACGTGGACCCCTAAGTATCTTATGCTTTCGCCCTGACCTCATGCGATTCCCGTCACTAGAAGTTCGGGCAAGCTGGCAACACCACTTCTGACTCCACTCAGACTTGAGCCCCAGCAACTGAGCCCTGCGCATCGCTATGTTGCCAAGAACATTTGTCGACAGCACCACTGCAGTGGCGGCAACGGACCAGGACGTTGCAATGCAGCAATAATTTGCCACTGCCGTCGCGTCGCGGAACAAATCAAACCTAAGATCCACTGTTTTTCCAGGTTAAATTGTATGAGGAACCCCGGAAAAAAGCGTGTCCATCTCCGCAGGAATTGCTCCTTCCTCAAGCTTCCTTATTCCCTGCCTTCTTCTGCATTCAGCAACTTACAACTTTCAGCTTTTGGTTGGGATCGCGGCCAAGCACCAAACCACTGCCAAGGGGCCGGTCGCCAAAGGGCATCATGGCCTCCAAGACGTTTCCAACCCCTACTTTGCCTGCGGCTGCGGCCGAGCACACCCCACAAAATCCTTCAAACCCTCAAAAGCTGTTTCAAACAAATCATGGCAAGTCTTACAGTTCGAGGGCCATTTGAAGCTGCCGTCTCCTGAAACGGCTGAGCCAAAGTCCAGCGTGGATACCTCAAACCTCCTCGGCCCAGCCTGTTTTCTTGACCACAGCATGAATGCAGCTGGTCATGAGCACTTCGGACAGGGCAAGCAGAAAGAATTCGTAGGTGGGCACGCCATCCACGATTCTGTTTGTCAAACCTGCCCACACGACCCCAGAAATCCTCGATGCCAAGCCCCAGGCCCAGACAATCTGCCTGAGACACTGTAGAGCCCCCAACGCCTGCATAAAGGCCGCAGCCCAAGTAGCCATAGACCAAGGTGATCTGAAACACAGCAAAGAGCACCTAGACTTTGTTCTGGCGCAATCCTCCTCTGGCATGAGCTTAGGACCCAAAACCTTTGGGCCTCAAAAATAGGCACTCTTCAAAAATAGGCACTCTTCTTGCCATGCCTGGCTTTGACGGCTGGCCATCCAAAGCCTCGATGAGAGAAACCAAAGGCCAAGGCACATCGCTCTTTGTGTAGCGACCTACGTCGCTCTTCCTCTCCTCAGATGTGACCACACTGCCGACGCTTGGCCCGAATTTACACTGCATCGGTGATTGAGCACTAGCTGCTGCCTCAGAGCGTGTTCTGCTGGCCCGCGAAGGTAGCCCACCACGTAAACGAAAAGCAGGGCAAGAGCAGTCAAGCAGGCACTTGAGCCTCATGCGTTTCGAGCTATCTGCGTGCCGGGGAGTGGGCAAATGATTGGCTGCCAAAGAGCTCCAAAAGATCGCTGCGCGTTGGAACTTCACCTCAGGCGTCGCCCTGGCCAAATCTTCGTTCTGGGGGAAGAGGCCTAGCTCCGTGACGGAGCTATGTCCAGCGACCTGGCAGGAGGCGGTGGCAACCGTCACTTGGCAAGGTGCTTGGCCATCAAGCAGCTAGGCCCCAAGCTCCAGCAGACATTGCTATGACATTGCTCCCTACCACCCCACAGGCTGGTGGCTGCAAGGAGTCACAAGCTGCCACAAGGCACAAACACTCACGAAACCCTGGGAAAGACTCCATAACCACCGACGACGTTGACGAGTGATGTGACTACTCAAGCTCAAGCTGATGCCACATAATTGCTTGAAGCTAGCGCGCAACACCCTGCTCCGTACCGCAGTCCGACCACAGAATCTGCCAACATCTGCCAACGGCAATGCCTCGGGAGACGGAGAACACAAGAACAAAGAAACAAAGAGGGGCTGCCATTCCAAGGCCCAGACTCACAGAATCTCACAGAATCTCACAGCGCGCAGAGGCGGCTTCTGCGCTTTAGCAAGAACCTTGCGCACCGCTGCGATCTGTCACCAAAGCCGGACGGCTCGCTGAGCTCATGGCGCTCGCAGAGGGCTTCCAGGAGCTCCTCAGGCGGCTCCTGGCGGCCTTCTTTGGTGCGGCAAATGGGAAGCACCTCCCAACGCGGCCGCGCCATGTCCGGCAGCCGCAGCGTCGCCTGGGCCTCAGCTTGGGGCGCTGGGCCTTTGGGGCCGGCCCCTTGGCCCGTGGGCCTCGCGGGCGGTCGTGTGGCCACCGCCGACAGCCAGCACCGTTCGGGCGCCTGTGTCACAAAAGCCCAAAATGAGTGAAGCGGTTTTTCCCGCTCCTGTGAGACGCATCGACAGCCATCCCAGGCAAAGGTCATCTAGATCTGGCTCGGGCACGCCATAGCTTCGCAATTCCGTCCGGGCGCCCTCCACGCATTCATCAGAGACGAGCACCAGGACAATGCGCCCCAGCAGCCCTGTCGGGCTCCACGACTGCAGGAACCTGCCGCGGAGGCAATCATCCATGATCATCCAAGCTGTAGACTTGCACAAAGCACGCTTTTCCCCATTCGGGCGAGCTGCCCGTCCAGCTTGCCCGAGGCCTTGCGGAAGGCTAGGCCATGGTGCCTTGGCTCCTTCAGGAACTCAGCAATGAAGCTGGTGAAGCTGTCTTCCTTCAACCAATCCTGAGCCAGAGCCACTGACAGCTACTCTTCCAGCCACTCACAGCCACTCAAAGCAACTCACACAGCCCCTTCTAGCCAAGGAGAACCCCTATAACCGTAAAAAGCTGCCAGAGCAAACCCTTCTCCAAGCGTCTCCATCCCAAACTAAGCAGTCAAAGCCCTTGGCCACTTCCCAGGCATCCGCCGCGAAGGCCATCTCCAATCCCGACCCGAAGCCCTTGATGGCCAGAATCTCTGTCAGTGTCACCCCCTGCTCGCGTGCAGCGTCTTTCAACGCCGCCTGGGCGCGGCAGGGCGGCTCGACGGGCACCGCAGAATGACCCGCAGAACGACATGGCAGACGGGCGTGGACCGTCTGAAACTGCGTTCAAGTCTCAGGGTCGAAGGTGTGCAGCTCCAGAATTGCCGCGCAAGAGGCCATGTGAGGCGGCGCAGTGAGAGGCCGTGCCAAGCCTCCGATGGCTCCTTCGGCATGAGCCAAAGCTGATCAGCAACCATATCATGCCGTCATGGGTCCGTCATGCTAGTTTTGTGATTTAAATTAATTTTGGGAGCTGATTTGCACGGAAGACGAGTCACGGGGTTGGCGGGGGCGGCGCGTCTGTGAAACCGTAGGTGTCCGAAGGTAAGCTCAATGAGAACAAATGTCTCATTTGGACCAAAAGCGGAAACACTTGCTTGTGTTTCATGTTCAGGAACCGACTTATTTGTATTACAGCTTGATTGTACTAATACCACTACACCACTGTGCCACTGAACCAATCACCAAGTGGCGCAGTGGTGACATGGGTATCTTGGTACGTTTGGCGCAAGATGTGTAGGTGTCTTGCTGAGTGGCGCAATGGTGCTGTGGTTCAGCTTGAATGGTGCAGTGGCGCAGTGGTGACATGAGTGTCTTGGTGTGATTGGTGCAGGGTGTGTAGGTGTCTTGGCGACTGGTGCAGTGGCGCAATGGTGACATGGGTGTCTTGGTGTGATTGGTGCAGGGTGTGTAGATGTCTTGGCGACTGGTGCAGTGGCGCAGTGGTGACATGGATGTCTTGGTGCGATTGGCGCAAGATGTGTAGATGTCTTGTTGAATGGCGCAGTGATGCTTTGGTGCAGGTTGCCTGGCGCAGTGGTGCAGTGGTGACATGGGGGGGGGGTGAGGCCCACTGCCGGGGTGCCTATCCCCGAAGGGAACTGGTACCCTTGTGGTAGTTGAGGTCGTTGATTTGGTCCCTAGATCTATTCCGGAGAGAGTCCAATATGCCAATATGGATGATTGGAGGATGGATTGTCCCTGGTGGATTGTATTGTGATATAATCCTGTAAGCGGCCTGCAAAGGTCCTTTCTCTCACGCGATCATGAGTGTGCTATGATACACAAAAGGGCCTTGAGCCAAATGGTTGCAGGAGATCAATTGTGTAACAAACCAAACACAAAACAGACACAAATTTCTTTTGATCTCCAGCACAAAGTATGAAATACTATTGGCTTCATGGCCTTTGGCCGTAGCCTTGTTGCTTGCCGTAGCCATGTTTCTTGAAATACTATATTCATCCTATTTTCTGCGCGGATGAAATGTCTTGATCTGCAAAATGGAAAACAGTCTGTACTGATTCTCTGAGATACCTAGATGTATCGAAAGATGATGTACAACGCTATGTACATGCGGGACGAATGTGAAACTATTGATCTCTCACTGAATAGTCTTGTTGGCGGTGAGGATCAATCTGGTTGTAGTTCGTAGTGCTGAACGTATGAGTCTTCTCGGTCAATCGGATGGATGCCAAAGGTGGCTTCTTCATTTGTACCACCGACGGCTGCTGTCGGATTGACTGCCATAGTCTCCATAATCATTCCAGGTCGAGTCGCCATAGTCCTTCCACTGCTTCTGATATCCCCACTGCTTGTTGTAGTCCTTGTATTCGCGCGGGGTCCAGGATTGCTTCTTCTGGTTGTATTCCTTGATTCTCTCATAGTTGCGTTTCCTGGCTGCAGACTTGCTGCGGATGTAAACCATGAGGGGACTGTGCGAATCGGAATCCTGTGAGCCATTCATGAACATGTCATTGTTCACGTGCTTAAGAAGCGCTCTGCGGATGAGACCTGGTAATCGAAGATGGCCTGTGCTGGATTGTTCCGCATGGCTGCCAGTTGTTCATCATTCATGGCGTTCATCTCCTCATTCCGGAAAACCTGCTGGATGTTCGTCTTACCCCATCCAAACACGAATGTCATCATCACATCTGGGAATGTTCGATCGTACCCTGATCCGCATTTCATGTGCAGGTGATGACGGATGATGGATTTGAGGGTGCACGAAGTCTCCATTGCAAACTCCATTCTGTCCACGAGTGGCATGTTGCTCGTTTCATTCCATAGCTTCTGGTATGCCTTCATGAGGATGTTCATGAGACCGTTTGCCGGATTGAAAACCTGCTGGAGCTTGCTGTAGGTATTCGCGCACTTGTTGGCGTCTCCTGTGATCGCATCGCATTGGTACAATGTCACGAGCGGCATGATTTCCTTCTGAAAGTCGTCCCGTGCTGCTCCATGGCTGATTGATGGATGGATGTGGAAAACTCCAAGGTAGCAAACGGGAGGTCTGCCCTCGTCACGTGGCGGTCGTCAAACTTGAGGAGGTTTATTTCGGGATCATGCCACGAAACTCATCACTCTGCTCGATTTGGAGAACGATAATCTCTTTCTCTCGTCCGTATCCTTGGACAATGGTGCGTGGTGGCAATCTCGATCCAATGTACTTGAGGATTCAGCGAACATGGATGTTCCCGTGGTTGCCAAGCAGTCCGAGGTCGGAATTTCGTATTCGGGATCAGTGCAATTTTCCTCTGCGCCGAAGAAACATCTGAACATTCCGAATGTGGTTCCCCAATTCTGACTCTTGGTGGAAATATACCTTGCCAGTAGTTCCATTCTTGCGGACGGTCCGCCGCGGACAAAGCATGCGATTGGTCTGGATGACCATTGCTTGATCACAATGCCCTTGTATCCGAATCGGATGAGCTCTCTGGATTTCTCATCATTAGGACTGAAGAATGCGTCTGCTTCATTCAGGCATAAGATGTGCGCACTGCTCTGCATCATCATCTTCATGATTGGTCGATCCTTCATCGGCATGTTGTACACCTCCCTGTTGTCAAGCTTTGGGTTCCTCGTGAGGTTTCCGTGGTTCATAGTAAGCATGTTGATCGTCAGGGATGTGGTGAACTCATGCGTTTTGAGATGGTCCACAGGTGGACGGTCGGTCGGCTTCATCAGCGATCCCAGGATATCGGCATATGCTCGGATGAGCTCCGGGTCGTCATTTGACCTAAGCCTTTTCAATCCCAGCGGAAGCTTGATGGGATAGCCGGAAAATGGCTGTGCCTGCCGGTACTCGTCCATGGTGGGACATTCTCCTTGATGATCGAAGTAGAATTCTTCTTCTCCGAGATTGACATCGGGATCGACGTGTGCCAATGAGGCTCTCTCGCATTCTGTCAATGTAGGATGAGCTTTTCTTGGATCCTTGTTGTACTGGTCCATGAAACGGCGGAGGTTCTTCTTGGTTTCCGCGAGCTCGTCCTCGGCGTCCTTTCTGTTCATTTCTATTTCGAGGTAGATTTGTTTGAATTCATTGATGAACTCGTCTAGGTTCTCGGTGTTGTGATACTCCATGGTGACCTTTGGCTTGACGGATCTCTCCCCGGAGGGTTCCATGGTCTCCTCTTCAGCTTCGTCCTGATCGGTGGAGCGCCGTCGCTTCTTGGTCTCTGAGGAAGTATCTTTTTCTTTGCTGTGCTGGTTGGAACTCATATGATTGAAGAAGGCATCGGCGAATTCACGGATCTTGGTGTCGTACATCTCAAAGTCTTCACGACTGAGAAGTTTCTTCATGATCCAGTTGTTGCTCATCATGATGCTACCATCAGGTTCATATGCTGCAACAATATTCTTCGCCTCGATGGTCTGATCTGTTATCGCTGTTCGCTCTTCAGAGAGTCGGATGCCATAGTCCTGGTCCTTGAGGAATGCAAGGATCAACAGTGCATCTCTTCCTGCTGGCACATGGGTTAGTGCTGCTTCTGACGCATCGTCGTCAAGGATGACGTCGTCTATGCATGCCATGTGGACGTGCATTCTCCCCGAAGGGTTCGCCTGGGATTTCCCAGATTTGGGCCCGTTCTCCACGATGCTGAGGAGCTGATTTCCATAGGTTGCATGGAACATGAATGCGATGGGCTTCTTCGCGAACGGCTTGATCTTTCTCTCTTCTTCAATGGATGGTGGCGCCGGCCTTCGCATTCTGTACTTGGGCTGAGCTGTGCCTTCATCTGCGTGAGGCGCATCTGACCTCGACGGATGCGGACTTGGTGGAATGGATTCCGTTGGAAAATCATAGTCCGGTTCGTCTTGGTGAGGTTCCTTCTGCTGCTCAGAGTACAGGGGTCGTCCAAAGGATTGGATCTCGACTTGTCGTGTATGTCCGCTGTTGCATCTCACGTAGAATTCCATCTGTGATCGGGCCGGAGTGCATTTTGTGCGGATCTTGTGTTGAGCTTGTCGATCCATCTGTTCCTTGGAACAATTTCTCCCCTTGCCTTGCGCTCATTATATGACCCGTCCACGGATGGAAACACGAACGCAACTTCGAAACGTGATTTTCCATAGCTCGGGAACATAGCCATCAAGAGAAGTCCTGGCTTGCTTCCAATGAAGTTCCTGGCATGTGAGATGCAGGTCAATGCGTCGTATAGCTCAACGGATCCATCAGGACCCATTTCCACCTGTCGTTTGCATTCCCTATGGAGGCCACGCCTTGGATGGTTCCATGTGGAAGTATTTGCAAACCTGTTCGACATTCTGGATGGTCTTCTCGTGATCAATGTTGCCGTTGTGGCGCACCATCGGGATGATGTCGGTTCCGTAAACTTCACCTTGAGCATTGGTGTAGCAGCAGATACTATAGACCTTCTTGATGAAGTCCATGTGTTGTTTCTCTGCATTAGCACCTTCACCTTGGATTGTTGGATTCCAGTAATCGTTGAATCTTGCCTTCAACCAGAATACCTTTTCTCCATGTGGTCGTTGATGCTCAGGAATGAAGTGGAAGTCCGGATGATTCTCGAGGATGGTTGAGCACTCCTTGTAGTAGTCGTACACGAAGCTGAGGAACTTCGAATTCCCGAAAGGTCCTGGGTGTACGGATTCCTTCTGGAGGCAAATGTCGGTATCTGATCCATATGTCACAAACCACCGATCGTTGGATGTGAGGATTGGCCGCATCGCTGGTCGCCTTGGAAGTGCAGGTCGATTACCAGGATGGTTGTCGGATTCCGTGTCCTCATCCAGGATGTTCTTCGGCGCTGGCTTGACCTTGGATACAAGCCTCAGTGTTGGAGGTGGTGACTTTGGAACCAGTCTTGGAGGTGGCA